CATATACAGCAAACGTTTCATATTTTTATTTATTTTATTTTTGCTGACTTTGTGGGTTGGGAGATTTTGACAAAATTGTATCCTAAAGCCGCGTTCTTGAAATGTGTCTAAACAAGGGCTTCCAACACGAACCAGAAGAGGGCAGCAAAACACTAGTCACTAGACTGTGGTCCTTGATCTGGGACTGGAAAGCAGCTGCAGGCTTTCCTGCCTCTTTGGTTTTTGTGCATTTGCTTGATTAACATAACTCCAGGACCTGCAGCAGGTCCACACATCTTTAAGGAGCACAACAAGCCTTTTGTTTTTACCATAATATTTCTCAGCAATGAGATATCAGAGGATATTCAAACCAGGGTGGAAAAAAATAACAAAAACCCACTCAAAATTAATCTACTAAAGATCCAGTGGAGTCAGATTGAATCACATAAATAAGAATACAGAATGAATATCTTACTGAAATTACCAATTTTAAGCTTATTTCCTACGTGTATATTGCATTATTTGCTAAATTCTGCATTCACAAAAATACATGTAGTGTTCAGAGAGAATGAATGATATTTGAAAGGGAAGTGATCAAAGTGTGTCTCAACTAGTTATCACAATTGACAATTGCCACCAGGAACATGGCTTCTTCACCCAACTGCGGGCAACAACTGGACATTTATTAATTAGCATTTAATGTGCAAAAATAGAGCTGTTATCTCAAATGTAATGTGAGATAGTTATGAACACATCTTAAAAATTTTAAGACTCCTGAATAGGAAGGAATAGACTGACCCATAGGAAAAAGGTCATTCGTGTTTCTTTCTTTTTTTTTTCTTTTAAGATTTTATTTATTTGAGAAAGAAAGATTGAGAGAACACGCATCAGAAGTGGGGAGGCGTACAGGGAGACAGAAAGGCATACTCCCCGCCAAGCAGGGAGCCTGATGATGGGCTTGAGTCCAGGACACTGAGCTCATGACCTGAGCCCAAGTCAGGTGTTTAAAAGACTGAGCCACCCAGGAGCCTGTGTCTCTTTAAACGGAGAAATTACAAAGAAGTGTTTCCTTTAAAATTAGCTAAGGGGCAATAACGTCTGTTTCCACCAATGTTATTTGCTATTGTGCCGGAATGTAGATGAATGCAAAGTTAGGAAACAAACAGGAGGAATCAAAGCTACAACAGTGATGCAAAAACACGTTAGGTCCTTTTTTATTTCTGGATTGTTCACTCAGGGTCATGTTTGTGAAATGTAGCAATAGCTCATTTCCTCATTACTCTGCACTGTACTGTCTAATATATCAAACGATAACCATGTCCTCTATTCCTGATATAAAATTGCTTTGTGTCTGCCTTTTCTAGCTTTTAACTACTTGCACAACTTTCAGCGGACAGGAGCAGTAATCTCTGTTGGTCTGTATCATAGGAGGCGTGCTGTGTATGTTTAAACTTTAGATCCTGCCTTTCCACTTCTGTGAGGTTTCAGAAGTACTGAAATATTGGTAAGGAAAATCCTAGATTTCAGTACCAGAACTGTAGATTCCCCTGTTTGCACAAGGGATCTGAGCTATCACTTTGCAAGGACCCTACAAAGTATCCACAGATGGTGGACGAGTTTCCAGTCCTCCCACAGGACCGCTCTAGGCGTGGACAGCATGTGGCCTGCAGAGGAGACTCAGGTCAAGCGCACAGCTGCCACAGGTGCACCTCAGCAGCTGGGTGGCCTCCGTCCTGCTGTGACCGGCCTCAACTGGGGAGTCCATGCAAGGACACCGCCTGCCTTGGGAGAGTGGGCTCATGGCAACACGGAAGCCCCGGATGGAAGGCAGGGACACTGGGGGATTTCTGAAACGCAAGAGACATACATCTACTGCTCTAGGAGAATGGTTGCCTCTCTTCAGGAGAATTCCAAGTTTGCACAGAAATGGATGGAACTTTTGGGAAATGATGGAAGGAATGACTGCATAGTTAGCTTTGAGGTCCACACCTGATACAACATTTCTTATTGTGCTGCTGGGCTCCATGGGGCCTCCTGCAATCAGGGTAGCCGGGAGACAAGATAGGAAGAAAGAGTGTTTTCAAAAAAATGTTTCCCTCATGAAAGTTTATAGTCTAGGGGCACCTGGCTGGCTCAGCAGAGGAACCTGTGACTGGGTCTCAGAGTTGTAAGTGTGAGCCCCACATTGGGCTCAATGCCTTGAGAAATGCCTTGATGGGACAATGGAGACCCACATTAAATTTTAATTTAAAATTAAAATTTAATTTTAAAATTAAATCTTAAAAACAAAATGTGGTCTAGAGGATGTACAATGAAAAGTAAAGTCTCCCTTGTTCCCACCCAGAGGTAGCCAGAGGAGATGGCTGGCACCCACTGCGCCCCCATTCCTCTTCCTCAGTTCAGCCTTCAAGCCCAAGAGATCTGTGAATCCCCTGAGGTGGGGAACGAGGGAGTTGACCCCTCAACGGCTCCTCTACAAGCCCGAGTCTTGCACTGGGCAGCGGCCCAACAGAAGCTGTGCGTGTGCACAGGGGTTCCTGCACGTGCGCTCATTCCTCAGGTTCCAGGTTCCAAAGCTGTGTCCTGGCAACAGGCCCGCATTGTGCTCTAGGCCTTCTGCCCTGACTTGGCAGCTGAAGGAGAGCGCTGCGAGCCTAGTTCGTTATCCTTAGCATCTAACCTTACCCGACTGCTCTATGGGCACCTCCTTGAGCAGGCCGTGCCCCTCCCCCCAGCCCCGGTCTCTGTGGGGTCCGCACCTGCCAGGAGGGCTGGCCCGCCCTCACCCGGCTCACTGCGGCCGCAGACTACTCTTGGCGCCCAGGGCTCACCCAGCGGTCCACACCCCTGGGTCCACTCACAGGTCGTCCTCCAAGTACCCCGCGAGCTGGCAACCGCGCTCAGTCCTAGCAGCTTGCAGAAGGTACTCCAGGATCCTGGCGACCCTGCGCTTTCTTCTGGGGCTCCTCATCTCCATCTGCAGGTGGGGTTGCCGGGTGAAGGTGATGCTGTCGGCCTTCAGATCACAGGTATCCTGCCGCTGCCACTGCGAGTCCATCGTGGACATGGTCACCCCCTGTGTGCTGCAGAAGCGGGTCATCACCGGGCTGCCACCCTCAGCACCCTGGAATGTCCATGAGATCTCCACAGGGGAGAGGGTGTGCAGAGACCCAAGAAAGAGTGGCAAAGGGATGGCCCAGCTAAAGGGAGACCCTGCACTTATAGAGGGGCAAGAGTCTCACAGAAAGGACTCTAAGTGCACTGGGACCCCACAGGGGGCATTTAGGCCCCTGGGGGTCCACGGAGGCCTCTCTTCCTTTGTGCCCAGGCCTGGGCCTTTGCTGAGAGCTGTCCCCCGGGAAGAGGGCTCAGAAGACCCATGCAGTAAGAAGTCCCCCAGCTCCCTTAGGAGCTCCTGCCCCACTCGAAATGCCATAACGAGTTCCTACAGTTCCACCAGGGGCTACCACCCGGTGCAGAAGAGGAGGGGTCTGGCCACAAGTCAGGCCTCGTGGCCCCCGAGGTCCCCCAAAAAAGTCAGCCAGGAGAGACCCTTGTGTCCTGCCGGAGGGCCTGCACGTTACCAGAAGAAGAACCAGCAGGAAAAGGATGCCGATACCACCACCGGGCAGACGGCAACGCAGAGGAACGGCTCATCCCCAGCTGACTGTTCCAGGCCCCGAAAACGCAAGTTTCCTCTGCTGCCACACAGGCGAGGGGAGCCTCTGAGGCTGCCGTCACCCCCTGAGCTGGGGTTTCGAGTGACTGCTGAGGACCTGGACCGGGAAAAGAGAGCTGCTCTCCAGCGCATCCAAGATGCTCTTCGAGGGGACACAGAGGCCACCTGCAGCTGTGACCCAACTTGGCCATCCAGTGCCTTGGCCCTGTCTGCTGCAGTGGCTGCTCCCCTGCCAGCCTCTGACACCCAGGTCACCTCCATAGACGGCTCCCCTTCTTCCCAGCCTCTCCTCTTGGGGTCTCACCCTGGCTGCAGTGGGAGCAACTTTGCATCTACCCAGGCCCTCTCGATGCTGCCCAGGGGCAGCATGGCCTCAGTCACAGTCCCCCCAGGGCTGCCTGCGCTGCCTGGTGGTAGTGGCAACCCGGGATCTACTGCCCAGGCTCTACTCGGGGCTGTTGGTGGGCAGTGGCCCGGAGCCAGCACCCTTCACAGCACTCCACCGCATGGACAGCCGGCAGCTCAGGCTCCAGACCCACTCCACGGCCTGAGCACAGCTCTGGCCCAGCAGGCCTTGGGCAGCGGCACCCAGGCCAGCACCCTTCACAGCTCTCCCCCGCATGGACAGCCGGCCCCTCAGGCTCCAGACCCACTCCAGTCCCTGAGCACAGCTCTGGCCCAGCAGTCCGTGGGCAGCGGCACCCAGGCAGGTTATGTGGTTCCCTTACCCGCATCTGCCTCCCGGGGCACCC